TGCAATGCTAACATGGGGAGCAGTCAGAAGTTTGGAATTCTCTTGGACTGCTCAGCATTCCACTTCAATGTAGCCTGAAGTCAAATGGAATGGGAGGATGGCAGAACAATGGGGAAAACTTTCACAATAATGCAAATCTTAAAGGCACCATCAACCTCTCACCCACATGGTTTCAACAAGGGTGTGGGGTAGGGCATACCCTATTCACACATGGTTCAGGCTGAAATGCAGTTTCAAGCCAAGCAATGATGCACATCACCCCAAAGCATCACTACTCTTACAGTCAACACCACAATTGAAGGAGGTATGTGAATGGCTGCAGTGCATGGCTGGGCTACAAGCTGTCCTATTGGGTGCACTGTGTATCATGCACCCAAAAATGTACCTGCATGGATGGGAGGCAATCACACAACTCAGATCAAAGGCTGCCACATGGCAGGATGAAGATATGGAGGCTGTCTTGCCAATGTGGAAGTTGGTCTACAGTTCCATGTCAGTAATGGTGAATCACACCTCACCTGCACATAAAGATATGAATGGCCAGAAGGTATGGCTGGATACCTTGCTTACTGTCAGCAACTATCTGTGGCTCCACTTCTTGTTCCTGGAGCTCAGAATATGGCTGCAGTACAATCTGGGCACCATAATTGCACTTGCAGGTTCAGCATTGGTTCACCAAGTTGACAGTGTAGATGGTGATCAGGAATGCCTGGCATATTACATGTGAGAGAATGTCCATCAATATGTTCAAGTCCCACTATGTGAGAGGCTACACATATCAGACATAGCAATGGATTTGTGGGCAGTGCAGACATAAAGACATAGACATATTAATTTATTGACACATATTGAAAGATGATTCTCAATGTTTGGGGTCATCATTGTGCTGAAGTCATGGTTCATTGCATATTGATCTCTGTCATGCCAGGTGCAGCAGGAGATGATTATATCGACTCTACACAAGTACACAATTCATGTCTAGCCCCATTGGTGTACAATCCCAACATCTGTGCCATGCATGTCAACCACTCAAATAATTCTTCTACTTGTGCATTAAGGTCAGGGAGTAGTGCCTCTACTCTGCATGCATTGTTCTTGTAACTCTCCACCCACAATTCCAATGTCCCATGGAGGTGATCCTTGATGGGAGACTTGTCCAATGGCCAAAAATCCTAAGTGTATTATCAGTATGCCCTGCCTATGAGAGTTGAAATTTGGAGCTTGTACCCTGAAATACCTTTGTGCAATGGTCTGCACCTCATTGGAGCACAAAATGTGTGAGTCACTTGCATAGTTTGATGTGGCCATCAACCACCATGGAAGCACAATCCCACCATCTTCCTGCAGGTGGGGAGTCCACTGCAGCAGTAATTCCATAACATTCAAGCAGGTATCAGACATCTGCACCTCTGGAACTTGAAACAGGGCATTGTGGAAGGTTTCTTCTGTCCATCCCCCCATATGATGCAGCATGTACAATGTGGGAAATGGGAGCTGATAACAATTCTGCATGACTACTATTGGGATGCGACAGTCCAGTGTACTCTGAATAATAGTGTGTCAATGCCTTGCAATCTCTCTAGCACAGAACACTCACCATATCAATGCAGAGATTGCAATACTAGTTTGCTGGCCATTTGGCCATGGTCAGCAGTTGTACTAGGTGCCAAATGGCAGTATCAATGCAGCAGCCCATGTACATGATGATCATGTCCATGACTGACTGCTGGGCCAGGTATTGAGGTTGTTCTGCAAACCACTGAGGGCCTATCGCAGTGAATGGGTTGTAGAAGTCATCCAAATCAGCAATTTGAGAGAGGGATCTCTCTGCTTCCTTGCAAAGGTCCATCCATCATAGTACTATATAGGCAAAGTCTGTTGCCATCTGTGCCATTGCATCTGCAACTGCTGGATCAAACCAGTCATTTGGGTGGAAAGGGAAATGATACCAGATGGAATGACAGGTGAGCCTAAGCTGATGAATGGCCCAATATACTGCATGGGAGTCAAGTGAGGATAGGAACATTGTCTGGGGTGCTTACTGGCATGATCAGCTCCTGGATGTACAAAACTATGCACCTCCATTTCCCCTTCTCCTCATTGGACAGGTTGTGGCCTGTACTGTGTTGAGCAGCTGAATTAATTGCATTCCATGAAATGAAACTCACCCATCCAGGTGGAATATAGGTGTATAAATTTCTGTTGCAGTCAGTGCCATTCTGCATGGAATAAAACATCTGGCTGATCTTCAAGAATTGGCACCTGGGGATTGCTGATGTCTTCAGCCAAGAATTGGGTGTCTATACTATCAATGAGAATTACTGACAGGGTTGAATGGGCCAATGAACACTTACCATCAGATGGGGGTTGTGGGGGTAGTTCTGAAGATGTGTCCATGTCCATTGCTGTATTCATCAGACAGCAATCCCAACATGTATAAAATCAACTTGACATACAGGTATCATTCCCATCCAGTGATGCGACTGAATGGTGGGAGTCAGATTCTTGCAAGGAGGGGGGTGGAGGTGGGATTGGATCATTTATCATCCCTGGGTCATCTGGGGGTGGAGGTGGAGGTGGGATGAGGGCATTGTCAGTCTCATCTTCATCAGACTGTGGCTGGGGGGTTTGCTCCTAGCTATCATCACTTTCTTCACTAGGTTGTGGTGGTGGCACCTCCTTGGTCACATTCTCAAGATTGTCAGGAGGTGGTGGGGGTGGTGGAATGTCATCATCAGGAGGCAGTGGGGGGGTGGAACTGGATCAACCATTGATGCAGAGACCTCAGAAAGCCATGGTTGAGGTGGAAGGTGCTCTGGCATCTGGCTATGTCAACCATGGCTCATCAGCTGTCAGATGGTTCCTGCCTTTTGACCCCTCCTTTTGAGGGGCCTGCAGATTGTGGAGGGTCCTCCCCCCTGGCTTCAATTTGCCAAATATGAACTATGAATGATTAATGGAATTGTGGTATGAAATCAAATGAACCCAACCTCTGGGATTGAAGTATACTCTGTGGGGAATTTGGTCTGCCATAGTGGATGGATGCTAAACAATTTCACTTGTTGGAAGCCATTGCCACTCCAAATATCAATGTTCAACACCCAACCATGGGAACATCTGCCATGAGGCAGGAGTTGTGAATGTCATGTTTCTGTGCCCAGTATGAAAGATGAATCCTGGCTGCCTGGCATATAATCTGGTAGAAATGCCAACAACTACATGGCAATGGCATGGGTGCCCACAAATGTGTGTGTGTCAAAATGAAATGATTGGGGCCCTGCATAACAGGGGTGGGGGATGCCCCCTGACATGACTGTTGCAGCCTGAACTGAATCAATGATTTCATTGCCTCTATAATATTATATGTACATGCAGATTGAAACTCCATCTGAGATCATTGCATCCTTGCCCTCTTTCCTGGAGAAACACCTGGATCCACCAATGTATGCTTCTGCGATCACTTGGATGGGGGTGAAGGGACATCTGCATCCATCTGGGCAGGGGCCCAATGGACCCAAGGGGATTTCGAGATGTCCTCCATCATCCCATCTCCACCACTCACTGCCAATTGCCTCTTTCCTGATTGGGAATCCATACCCTTGCCATTTTGTAAAGGAATTTGACAGCCCTTACTGGCAGTTGCAGAATGATGTTGGGCTACATCCTGTTTAGCAGGTCCAGGGTTGATGCATGCTTGGCCTCCTTGCTTCAAGGAAGGCTTCAGCCTTACCTCCAGTCGCTTGTTGCCATGTCCATCTGGATTTGGAGGTGCATCCTGGGTGATTGGAACACATTGCAAATGATCATCACCCTGATGCTCAGAACCATCCTTAATCTTTCTGGTGAACTCAATCATCTCAGCTAATAAATGATGAATATGATAGCCTTTTGATGTGATGGAAACAGACCTGGCCTCCTTTTGGAAAGTGTTGGTAATTCATCTGCTGCACCTAGACCATCCAATTGATTGACTTCATCAGAATTGGACACTTCTTCTTCAGCATATAATGCATTGGTTTCTTTCATTGCCCTCTGAGGGAATGGCATTTTATTGTGGACCCATGTCTTTCTGATGTGCATCATCAGGCTGATTGGTGCAGTTGTCTTGCACAGGAAGGGAGTTAAAGGGAACAGTCTGGGTGCTGGACCATGCAGTGCATGCACTGTGGAGTACCTGACTGCACACCTGTCAGGGAGAAGTCTGAAGGGTAGTCACATGACTCCTCAGGGGATGGTCTGTGCAGTCCAGTAGGAGAGCAGTACAAGTCTGACAGCAGTCAGAGCAGAGATGACTTGTAAACATCAGGGGGCAGGCAGAGTTGGTGCAGAGTGGGGGAGTGACTGGTGGAAAAGGGACTGGAGTGAGTGAGGACCTAGGATGAATGCATGGTCATAACACTGGAGCATAATATGGGGCTTCCAGGCATGCAACAGCTTCTTCAACCAAGCTGTGATGAGCTACAAGTGATTCTTTAGTCTTTGAAGACCCATTCAGGGCTGCAACTACATACCCCAGCCTTCAGCTGCATGTCTGCATGTGACAACTCCATGTTCTTGTCTAATTTGTGCAGCTCCCCCAATATTGACTGCAGGCTCATTGATTGTTTTGTCTTTCTGGACTCTTTCCAATCCTTCCATCTGCGAACCAGCACCTCCAATTTGTTGATGTCAAAATTCTTGTGGTCCCCATCCCCAGTTACTGCCTGCTTGGTGCCTTGTCTGATGATGTTACTCCCATCTCCTACATCTGTCAGGACCCAATCATCATAGCCATCATCTGTGTCATACTGCAAATCCATGAGGACTTCTGGAATGGAAGGAGGGTATCTATGGGGCCTACTACAAGAAGTATTATATTAGCCTGAAGGAAGGCATTATGGTATCCATGACATCATTCAAATTGACTCCTGATTGCATCTCCTGCCTTGCTAATTGACTTTGTGCCATCTTCCCACATTCATTGTTGGGGTTTCAGCAGCCATTAATTCTGTCATGGGTGAGTTGAGCCAATCACACTCATTCTGTTGACTACTCGAAGCCCTAAAAGGTTAGTTCCAGACAGGTTTAAGTCAGCCACATCAGTTTTGCATTGATACTGAATCTTTGATCTATCATGCTGGGGTCATTGATTGTGAAATGACTGTCAAGCTCTATCCAAGATATCTAAGATGATTCCTACCCACATCTGACTCAATCATACTTGCCATCAACACCATAGCTGTGGCCAAATGCAGTGCAGAAAAGTGCATAAGAATGATCAGGCATATGCCTGGCCATCAGGTCAAGCAACTAGAAGTTAAAACTCAGACAACCAGCAGTTGGAGCAGATCGAGATTGGTTGAGGTCATGATCACACAACCCAATGCCACCTCCACTGTCCATTCACCCCACTCTTCCCCATCCAAGCACTCCTGCTCACCTTCAAAACAGCACATGCATACTGATGAAGATGCACTTAACATGGAATATGATGATAATGCTCCTCCAGTAGAGCCATTACAGTTACCTTGAAAAAGGGTACCAAGGGATCCTTCATGCAAAAACCTGAGCTCATTTCTGTTCTCAGACACAGAATGATTACATCCATGAATGGCTTCCACATGGAGAGGAGTTCATGAGGGTCCTGTTGGAGCCAGAAGCACCTCCTGACCCATGGAACTGCATAAGTTGTGGAACAGATGGGTTTTACAGATGTGTAGATTGCTTACACCAGCCCATGTTCTGCAGGGAATGCTGTAGAATAACTCACCAATGCTTGCTTTTTCACAGAGTGCAGCACTGGAATGGGGAGTTCTTTGAGGAATTGGCACTCCATATGGTGAGAGATTCCCTCATTACTTCACATTGCATTTACAGAACAGAATCAGACTGGCACTGAGATGCACCTTGGGCACACCAGAGCAGCTTGCCTTTCTGATCCATCCCATGTGAATGGCACTGGAAGGCCTGTCAAAATGAATGCCCCTGAATGGGAAGATGTTGATGATGTTCTGCCCCACATGTGTTGGCCTGTTGGGTCAAAATAACTCACTGTCATTGATGTGACTGGGGTGCATTTCATCCCAGTACATTGGTGCCAGTGCAAAGCTGCAGAAAGCTTCTGGCTACAATTACCACAAGCCAAGCTATTTCCTGCTACATTTGAAAAACCAAGTACTGCATTTACATTTGCAGTCTTGGATGATTTTGTGAGAGACAACCTGGAATGCAGCACATCTGGGATGAACTATTACTCAAAACTGTGATGGATGACTTCTGGTGTCTTTCCTCACCTAGTTCCAGTAAGTCATCAGACCATGATGGTCAATTGCAGGGCATCTAAGGCAGTAATATGACCAGGACAGATACCAGGAGTTGCTGTGAGTTGCAAGGCAATGGTGACTCCTGAAACTGTTGAAATGGAATGGCTTCCTGCAATGTGGTCAGGCTCCTAAAAAAGGGGAGTTGGGGTTATTTTGTGCAGCATGTCCACAGCCTGGGATCAATGTCAACCTGGCAGAAGATCTGGATCAGTAAGTCTTGGGATTCAGCTCATCCCCCATCATTAACCTTCTGAAGCTGGAAATATACCTGCATGCTAGTGATGGATGGAAATTTCAAAGCTGAACATATGCATGACAGGCATCCTGCAGATCAGGTGTGGTTGATGGATGGCCATGGATTCATGGTCACAGATCCAGATTATTGGGCATACCTGAAGGCCACACCCCACATCACAGAGGTACATTTGTTGGACTGCTTCTGCCATTCAATTACTCATGTGTTAGCTAGAAATCAGCATGCAACAATCATAAGGCAATTAATCAGGCCAATGCCCAACAGGGCAGACTTTACTCAACAGGAATTGGTGTGACAGCATGCACCTGGCATGGGTGTTTTTACCTACATTCTGTGGTTGACTTCCAAAAAGGGGAAAGGTAGGATATCACATCAATGATGCACCTCCAGCTCATGGCAGTTCAGGCAGTTAAACATGGATTACTCATTGGCAAATGCATTGCACTACAACATGGCAGGAATCAACCATGTCCTATGCTTCTATGACATCAACTGCTCATACATGAAAAATTTACACACATGGGTGCAAAGTAATGCATTCACTGACATCCCAGATTCAATGCAGGTTATGCCAGGAATTGGAATGTGGCATGTGCATGGTCACAAACAGGAATGCTATGCCTGACATGCACCCTTGTTCATGCAAGGTGCTGGGTGGGTAGATGGAGACATCATTGAGACCTTGTGGTTGCTACTCAACATTGCATCCACTTTGGCCCAGGGCATGAGTTCCCCACACTGCCAGGAGCTGTTGGATTTTCAGATCAGCAATTGCAACTTCATGAAGATGATTCACATGGGTATGAGCTTCTATTCATGCACTAACCTTCCTGACTGTTTGCATTTAGTTGATAGTCTGATACAGAAACTGACAACCACAAGGGTAGCAGCAGATGTGGCAAAACAGGCATTCAAGACATTGGATGAAGCAGTGTCTGCAACACAATGTGATACATGGACCTACCAAGAGCAAGTGGCCTTCAGAGACCAAATGGTTGACCCCTCCACCATGGATATCTTTGAAGTGCAAATGAAGAAGGGTAAGGTTCACACCTGCTCCTCCTTTCACAATACATCTGAAATGTTCATCAGCCCCAACAGTGCATACCATTGAACTGGAGTTTTTGAACAATACCACATTGAGCAGAGCACAGCATGGGATGGGAAGTTGGCTTGCTTGCAGTCTCAGGTTGGAAGAAGTGGCAATCACATTGCACACTGATCATTGCAATGTCAGTGTACATGTGCCAGAGCTGAAAGGATTGGTAATTGCATGATGCAAGGAGTGCTTATTATCAGAGCAGTTAGGGTTTATCACAGATGCTGCCATATACATCAGTCTACAGCAAGATGCAGGAGGTGATTGGAATCCAATCAATGAGGAAGGCAATGAACTTCAGGATGGCCAGTGTATGTCCAATGGATATCTATCAGACACTGAAGACCTGAATGGAAGCTCTGATGAAATGCTCACAGCTGATACCACTGACCTTGGAGGGATAGCCACATTGCCACTTCCATCAAACATTGGAATGGCTGCTTTCCATTCCTGCAATTCAGACCATCTCCATGATATAGAGCTGAGGCTCCAGATCAGTCAATCAAATGATGCACAAACAGGCTTCAGCTTGCATTGGTGGACAAGGCTGTGGTCTTCCAGAATGTGGTGTGACATGCCAAAAGCTATAGTATGAAAATTCATGCATGGGATGCAATCCATACAATTAACAGAGCAGTTCAGAAGCAAGCTGCAATATACAAGCAATGCCAAAAGGCAATGGTCACACTGGGTGCAAGTGCTGAGACCCTTACCCATTACCAGCAATTGCAGACATCAGATCTCACCATGACCACAGCCACCATAACTCAGAATGCACATGCACACCAGGTCAGCAATTTGCCTTGGTTTTGGTCTGTTGATGTTCTGATGGATATGGAATCCATCACTTGGATGTCAGAATGTATGTCTTTCATCTATGTATGTATAGATCAATGGTGACTTTACACATAGTTTACCAGACTCATTGGCTTTGAGCCAAGGCAGTGTGAGACCATTGGTCAGAAGAGGAACAGTTGCTGATAGCTGAATTTCAATGGACAATCAATTACTTCAATTATTGAGCCATCCAATGGCACACCTGCTGCTCAGAATGTGATGTGCTTGGTGCCAGCTGTTATGCTGCGAGGCAGATAGCAGTGTATGAGAGGCTTTTGGAGCATGCTCAGTTGAAACAACAGAGCATGAGCTTGAAGTATATCCCAACTTTGATGGATATTGATGCTAGTGATGTGTAGCCATAGTTGGACAAGTGTCTATCATTCAATATAACCATTCAGGTCAAGTTCATTGATAGAAATTCAATTGCAGTTGTGGAAGTCCATATCAGCCTTAAGCAATCTTCCAAACAGTACTCAAATAGAAGCAGTATGGAATTGTCAGGATATGACAATACAGAAGGTGGATATCATAACAGAAAACCTATCTCTACTGTGAGGGGGGAACTCTGTATTGCTGAATACACCTTGGATATATCTACCCATTGCACCTACATCCTCACTCTGGCACTCCCACTCCAACCCCACTGGGCAATCTGCCAGGTTGGCCCTTCCACAATATGAGTATACTGCGCCCTCACCTGGCTGAAGTCCTCCATCAGTCCAGCCAGCAACATTCAACCTGGATTGGCACTCCTCAGGTGGAGGATCACAGTGAATATTCAGGATTGTTGAAGCTGCTGTTGTGACTCACATTGCACCTGGTTGCAGTTCCCCATCTCCAGGGTGCCTCAATCAAATTGGCCCTCTTGCATTGCCATGGACTCAACAGCCAGGTCACCTTCCAATCTGCTCATCTTGGCATCACCAGGATGTCCTGAACACACCATCACATCATTCCCTCACTGGGGGGAGGTGGTGTGACAAGTCCAGAAGTTGGATCATCAGGAGGAGGTAGTTGACCTGCAGCCAATGCAACAACTTCCAACCACAAAGCCTTGATGGCCCAAATTGCACTATCCAACCTTTGGTCCAATGCCATCTGATGTGATGACAATGCTGCATATTCATCAGTGATCTGCCTCACCACTGTGTGTACCTTCTTCTCAGATGACATCTGATGGGACATCACCTCTGCAATGTCATTGGCCATGGTTCACATCCATTCTTCAAACAGGCCAGGCATAGTGGCTTGTCAACAACCATCAAAGACATTTGGCCTTGTTTTCACTTCCAGCATTTGCACTGATATCACATTGTGGAATTGAAAGAGCTGGTTGAGCTTGTCATGGATGTTGACTTTGAATAGCAATGACAGTTGTCACTGAGGTGTTGGAGCAGATGGTGGGTTGGGTACTGATGGGATGGGAGTGGAATCAGTTGCCTGTATGTTGATAACATGTCAGATATTTCAAGCTTGTCATGAATAGAGGAAGTGCAAGATATGATTTGTTCCTCTGGAGGTTGCAATGGCAGATGGCCCAGCTGCTGGAGTCATTGTGAGGCTATGCTGGTCGCTTACTGGATGAGAGACTTGGGTGGGATTTGGAGCTGGCTTCACTGGGAGACAGATTACTGCCATGGGACTTATCAGTTCAGTTCTGTGGAATGGGTGTGCATAACCACCAGGCCATCCATGGGGAATCATTACAACTGGGTAGGACCAGCTTTTTGAAGGATGTTTGCTTGTGTTAGAGGTGTGAGGTTTCTTTTCTGGGTGGGTTGTCACATAGTCCATGTCATTGTCATCATTAGCATCTTCATTGTCAGGGCACAGGCTGCTGCAAGACCTTTTCTTGGTTCATGCATGGGAGGGATTCTGTTGTGAGGGGAGTGGTGGGTGTTTTGTCTTTAGGCAGACAGGGAGTTGCAAATGTGCACCAGATCTTGTGTTTTTTTTTGCATTGCTGACATGCACCTCTTGGTTTCTGAATGCAGGGCATGTTGGCATCAGTACACTTGTCACAACAATTTTCCCTGGGAACTGTGGTTGGCCCAGATGGGTCTGTCACTGGATGGACCCAATCACCAGTTTGACTCCTGCCTTGCCCTGTCAATTGAGGTGTTGGACAGCTAGACATACCTGGCCTGTCCATGTCCACATCCTCCTCCTGATCCTCTTCCTCATCCAACTCATCAACTTCCTCCCACTTGACTAACTTAGGTTTTTGCATCTGAGACAGATGAGTGGGCTGGTGTGAGCCAGAAGTGGCTACTTGTCATGTTGATGGCCATCCCCAAGCAGGCTCATATCTGTGCAATATGATGCATCATATAAATGGCCTGTTACTAAGGTGTGGATAATGTTCCATCAGATGGATGGGCCTGTTGAGAGTATGATCAGGCATAGCAACACATACAAATGAGCCTGTCTGTCATATGTGTGCATTATAATGCATCATATAGATGGGCCTGTCAGGAAGGCATGGATGATATTGCATCAAATAGACAGGCCTGTTGAGAGTATCATCAAGCATAGCAACATATACACATGGGCCCATCACTAAGGCATGGATAATGTCCCATCAAATTGACAGGCCTGTTGAGAGTATCATCAAGATTAGAAACACATATACATGAGGCTGTTTGTCATATCCATGCATTATGACACTTCATATAAAAAGGCCCATCACTAAGGCATGGATGATATCACATTACATGAATGGGCCCATCTATGGTGTCATCTGTGTGATCACCACATATGGATAAAATGGGCCCATTGGCCATATCGAGATATTATGATGCATCATATTGACAGGGCTGTCAACATGGCATGAACCAGTTTGGATCAAATGGATGGGTATGATGATGGGATGATTGGGCAAATCAACAAATACAGATGGACCCATAGCTATGTTGATAATAATGTGGGATCAAATGTATTGGGCCATAAAATAGGTCACATTGACACAGAAGATATTCTCATGATTCTGAGTGATCATAGGCAGTATTCCATGTGTTCCATTGGAGGTCACATCCTGTGCATGGGATGACCAGCATAATAAATTGATTCTGCAACTTTGAGACCAGTCTGTAAGTCCTGATGTTTTCACCAATCTATTGCAATTACTATTAAGTAAATGGTAATACAATTGTGCTGTAATATATCCTTTCCACATTGTAGCAAATGGGGTATTACATGTTGATATAGATACTCCATGGGAAGGTTTCAGGGAACAACAAACACAAAGTAAACATGTGGAAGTTACATGTTGCATCTTCCATTGGCATTATTTTCTGCAAAGTACCTCACACCATCAACTTCAACCTTACCCATGTCTGTCTCAACAGTGCAATGAAGATCTACACCAAATGCAATGAGCTCACAGCCACAGCAAACTCCATCATTGAAATCATTGATTGGCAAGTCCATGGAACAAAGGACTTGGCTGACAAGCTGAGGTTTGCGGCTTGGAAGGAGGCTGTCAGAAGGGTAGTGGAAGTAGTGGTAAGTCCAAATATCATCCCACATGTTGCACCTCTGAGGAATATAGGATTCCATGCACAAAATTATGAGGATGACACATGAGATCCCACTCACTGTCATTGTGGCCAAAAGGTTCTGCAAATGGCATGAGAGGGTTGGACAGGAGAATGAGGCTCTCCCATTTCTGAAGTGGAGACTAATCATGCACCCAGACAAGGCCACCTTTGATGACCATCCATGGCTGCAGATGGTTGAAAGGTGCTTTGACTTGCAGTGCACTAGCTTCAAGATGTCTGCCTTCCCACCTGCTGCAGAACCATCATTGGAAATGCTACTGAAGGCTGTGAGTTGTAAAGGGAAAGAAAAGGCATCAGATGCTGAAGTGAAGGTGATGATTGGAGATGACAATGGGGAGGATGAACTGGTGGATGAGGATGCAGAGATGGGAGGGGATACCATTTGCTATGATGGACAGGCCCATGTGTATATGTCACTATGCTTGATGATACTCTTGATGGACCTGTCTATTTGATGTGATATCATCCATGCCTTCCTGATGGACCTGTCTATATGATGCATCATAATGCATGCATATGATGGACAGGCCCATTTGTATGTGTTGCTATGCCTGATCATACTCTTGATGGGCCTGTCCATTTGATGTGACATTATCCTTGCCTTAGTAATGTGCCAATTCATATAATGTGTCATAATACACAGATATGATGGATGGGCCCATGTGTATGTGTTGCTATGCCTGATCATACCCAGGACAATCCCATTCATTCTATGCAACCTTATCTACCACCTGGTGACAGGTCCATCCTTATGCATTGCCTGCCAAATGATCTGATGATACTATCGATGGGCCTGTCCTTATGCATTGATCTGCCAGATCATACCATCACCAGGCCCTTTCATTTGATTCAATGCCATCCATGATATGATGATGGGCCTGTAGCTATCTCTTTGTCTGCCCAATCATACTCTCAACTATCCTGTCCATTTGATTCCACATTATCTATGTCATGGCAATGGGCCCATCTATATCATGTGCTATAACCCATAATATGTCTGACAGGCCATCCATCTGATGCAGCATCATCAGCAATATCATGCACAGGCCTGCCCATTTGATGTAACACTGTCTGCAACATGCTGGACAGGCTGGTATATATGTTGTGATCTGGCTGATCAAACCATCAATGGGCCATCTATTTGTTCCCATGTCATTCCTCAGCTGACTGTGGATGACTGGGAATGGGTGATTTGGTCATATAAGACCATAGGTAATACCCAGGCCTAGATGGATTGATGGAATCTCCTTCCTAGCAGTTCAGTGCACTATCCCCCCCAGGGCACCTGGACTGTAATGAAGGTTCTCAGCTCACCCTAGCCCTCAACCCAGCACCCTTGAGGTGGAAACCTGCCAGATAAGAGGTGATTGGATTGTTGGTCATGTTTTAGAGTGCCAGATTAACCATCATGGCTTTTTCAGCATTCTCAGTACTGATTAGGTGCAGAACATATCAGGTATGGGTGGGGGAAACAACACAGGGATGACTGAAAGCAGATTTTTTAAGGGTTTGATTGTGTTGGACATATACCCTGATGACATTACTGTAGTGGGCACCAATATTTATGGGGATTACTGTGAGAAAATGGCCCAGATGGACCAGGAGGATGGTTTCATGAGTTGGGGTAGAAGAGGGAGCCTTGATGGTCCCAATTCATTGTTTGGCACTGTTTGTATGATGACAAATCATCAAATAGACCATGTGATATACCATGTAAGCATTAGTAAGCACCTCACAGCATTTTAAACTTTGTTAAACTCAAAACCATGTAATCAAAACTTAAAGTCAAAAAACTGACCACATGACATGTCATTTTCAAAGGGCTGCTATTCTATCAATTCCTATCCAAATCACTTGATTCATGGACCAATAGAAAGCCAAGAGTAAGTACCCTATTTCATACACTCATGGTTTAGGGGTAGGGTTAGGGGTTTTTGCATTTAGTCATAACTAATGTAAAACATACAAACATGCAGTCAGTTTTTTGAGCCACTGTAAGTCCATCATAATGGTGCAATAGAAGTTTTCATCTTTCCACAGTCAACATTGGGAAAAATCAGCATGGAAAAACTTGCAATGCAGAAGCTGCTGAGAGATGTGCAGAAGTGACTGAGCTGTCCATTCTGGTGACTGACTCAAACACCATCCACATATGGTATTTGCTGGATGCTCTCAGCCCAAAAAGAAGGGTAAGGAAATGCAGAATCTCATATTCTACAGACTTAATGGAATGGCAGGCCAACATATGGAACTGCCTTCATCTTCTGAGGGAACCACTGCAGGAGAGCATAAAGGCTTCCCCACAGGCATGGCAGATGGACAAGTCATATTTCTGCAATAATGCTGAGTTGAGAGGTGCCATGAACCTGTCACCCACATGGTTTCAACAGGGTCATTGGGTGGTTGATCATTTCTTGCCTTGTGAATAAAGTGCTCATCCATCTTGAAGCCCCAAAATGGCTTCCTGGAAGCCTCATGGCTGCTCAAATCCGGGATGGAAAACATGTCTACAAGGGAATGGGTTGACCAAATGTCCAACAACAATGCCCTGTTATCTGCAATCCTGCATGTCATCCATCTGCAAATGTATGCAGATGGCAGGGAAGCATTGATCTGCCTTGGCAAACAGGTGGAACAGTGGGTGGATTTGGATATGAGCTCCATACTGCCAATATGGAGCTCCACATATGGCCACATGTCTGTGATGGTGAATTGGGCAACTTGTTACCACAGGGATATCAATGGATGAGATCCATGGTATGACATGCTGGTAACCATGGGTGACTACCCACCCTTGGACTTTGTCATTACAACATTGAATCTGCAGCTGCACTACAACCCAGGGATGATCATTGCATTTTCAGGTTCAGCATTGGAGCATGGGGTGGGAGCTGTAGATGGTGACAGAGCATGCCTGGCATACTACATGCATGCCAATGTACATCAGTCAGTGCACATTCCCATGTGTCAATCACTGTGGGTGGACAACCTACTACCTAGACCAGTTGCAACTGGAGAACTGTTGATTTGAAGCTGCAAAATTTAATGTTAGATTTAGTAGGTGATGTGGATCTTGCATATTATTAGGATATGCTGGCTCTTGAACTTCAGATAGGTGGTGTTGCCAAGATTTTGCAAATGAGTGGGTGCTTTGACATCATAGATTGGGTGGGTACTCAGAGCTAAAGGGTGTGCATCATAAACTGCAACAAAAGTAAACCTACTCAGGCCATCATGCAGATGTGCAGATTGTCAGACATCATGCAGATGGGCAGGGGTCCAGACATCATGCAAATGGGCAGTATCTCATAAATGATTGACATTCACAGCAATGTATATACAACCAACTCCACAGTCAAAAACATGTAAACTATTGAAGTGGCATGCCCAACAACCCATGCAATGCCCACCACCTAGCATAGAAATGGTCAATTTGTTGACCCTGACCATTGACAACATCAACATATTTCTAAATATTTTCAATGCAGTAGTTTACCTGCTCCTCAATATGGCCATTGAGACAGTCTGCAATTGGCACCTCAGGCAATGGCCATAAGCCCTGGGCCATCATCAACTATTTTCAGTGATGAGAATAAGTGGCATACCTTAAAAAAATCCCAGGCAGTGGAAAACAATCCCTTGCCTTGCAATCGTTGGGAATCTGCTGCATATTCCTCAGAACAATATATCCACCAAGGGAATGCAAAGCTGGAATTGGGATCAGCTGCATGTGGGGTCCAATGTGGGATGCTGGCACTGATATTGTTAATTATGCAAAATGCACTAAGGGGAATTAACTGCATTTGATCACAGAAGCTAACCTCATCATCTTGGTGTCTGAGGTACACATGGTAGCATGCTGGGAGGGGAGGAGTATAACTGGCACACAACACCATCACCAGAATCAAGCTATTAAGCTGATTCTGAAGGAATTATGTATCAGTCCTACATTGTGAAAAATTGATGTAAAACCTACCAAGACCGTTGCTAGGTTTGCAGACCAATGCACAGGCCATCCCACAACATCAGCAGTCTGCTTCAGATGTACAGAGGCCACCTCAATCTGGCATGCCAAGTAGAGGATACCCACCTCTACCACAGACTGGTGAGATGGGTGTGATTGGCTGGTGATGAATGGCTTGGGACAATTTTCAAAGGTGGAATGTGGATAATGAATGACTTCCATCAAATCAAGCATATTGATGAGTTGAAGGCCCTGAGAGGCTGCACCATACTGGTCCCTTGTAGCTGTGCCCAATTCTCTTGCAATGGCATTCACAGCCCACACAAGGTGCCTATCAAGGGTGGGATCAAATGGCATGTTGCTGGGAGTGGTGTTTCTGCCATAGTGAGATACCATGGCATGTAAGGTGCACAGGACTAAAATTATCAATGTCAACAGTGTATCAGATTAAGCTCATGCCCATACCTTGATTGCAACATGGAACAGGTGCCAATCCCCATTGTTCCATTTGAAGAGATTGCTGTGTGGATGGAAGTTCACCTACATAATTGATGGATATCACCAATCACATGAATAGAACCAAATAAATGCTCACCATTGCATATTTCTTCAAAAAGATCCCTCATCTCTGATTGTTTGGGCATGCCAAAAGTCAAATGGTTTGCACCATTGTCCTCATCCACTGCCAAGTCAAAAGATTTGATGGGTACATTTGAAATGAGTGGGGGAGGCATTGGTTCCCTTCATATCCTGCAATTGAGAAAGCAGGTTAGTCAGAGAATCAGGTTGAGGAGATCAGTCCCTCAGATTTGATGATTTGCAGGTGATGGGCAGAGGAGATGGTTCCTGCACATTCTGCAAGTAGATCCACATTCATTCCATCCACTGGGGGAGCAGTTGGTTCCTGTTCATTCAGGAACTGATTCATCAAGTTGTCATGTGGATCTACTACTAGAAAATTAGTTTGTTCATTAGCTTGAAGGGCAATTGTGCCAACTCACCAGCTGCAATGCTGCCCTCTGCCAGAGCAGTTGGCTCCCTTTCCTGCATGAACTGATCCAGCAAGCTGTCACATGAATCTATAGCAAAAGAATGTTTGTTGTTTAGCTTGGAGAGAAATCATGTTCACTCACCAGCCACAATATCCATGTTCGACCCTGCCATATCTACCATTCCACTTGAGACAATTGGTGGAGGGGTTGGCTCTCACAACTCACACAGTTGTACTAGTGTCTCCTCCAGATTTTTGGACTGCTTTATGTGGGAGCTAGATTGCCTTGGCTTGATTGGTCTTACATTAGCTGTGGATGGCTTAGGTCACTGGATCCAACAATGAAGACAACCTCACCTCGATGATGGAAATGAACTTGGCAGGACTGTTTGGTGGACATATTTGACAATGATGGGTTCACTGATAGGTTGATGATCAATCAAGATTTAAACTTGTAGGAACAATGGCAAGAATATCATTCACACCATGGAAAGCAAGGTTGGACAATGGCAGACACAGCCATATTTGGTTCAGCAAGGTTGGACAATGGCAGATGGAGCCAAATTTTGGGTAACAGCAATACATGGGAGATGAGCAGCAATATCTCCCTACATAGATAGCTACCAGTTGCTTCCACATGGCCAATACATAGACCTGTCCCACTCAGCTCTCCACTCAATTGTCCTGCTCAACCATCCTGCTTAACTATCCCTCTCTCTGATATCATAGATGCCTCTCACAACCACCATGGTGTCATGAGCTA